ATATATATATATATATATATATATATATATATATATATTCTTATAGTTTATGGCTAACAAAACATTTTTGTGGTAAAAAATGGCTCTTTGCTTGTTTGTGGTTTTAAAGCTGACAAAATTATGTCAAAACGCATTAATTTAATTACAGGAAGTAATTAAATTAAAAAAACAGAAATTAAAAGACTAGAATGATTTTAAAAATATTCTAAAGGGATTCCCAATTGCCAAGACAAGTTGTGTTTATATTAAAGAAAATGATTTAAAAAAACATTTGGGCTAAATTTTATTGATTAAAACTATATAATGAATCCACACCATTAAATTTAAAATTCATGCTTTAGTCGAAGCTCGCTGTCTCCATTTTTTTTTGGTTCTCGGAGTCTGTATAATGTTAGCCACAATTTGTTCCATGCGTGTTTAATTCATAACAGTTTCGGTATATACGTCATTGTATAAATTTTTTCTTTCCAGATTTCATATTATTTTTTTGCCACTATCTCCAAATCATGTTAATTGTATAACTTTTTTACTAAATCCCAAAAAAAAGTTTATGATGCAATTAAAAATTAAATTTATAAAATTTATAAAAATAAAAATTTAATATATAACAAATACTTACAGTAAAATGTAATAAACTAAATATAAACTAGATACTAAAAGAATAATTTTACTAAAGCGTATGTATTAATTTTAACTATAAACTGAATAAAAAACGAGTGACTTGAATAAAACATATAAACTGAACTTAAAACTTTAACTAATAACTGTTAATTAAATCAAACTAAATTGAAGTTAAAACAAATATTTGTACTAAAATATACAAGAAATAGTTATAATATAAATATAAAAACGAAGAATCGCATCAACTTGTTCGCTACCAGCCGAACAAAAACCTTTTTGTAGCAACCGCACATTTTTTTGAATAACATTTGAATAGCATAACATTGACAACTAATTAAACTTTTATAATAATAAAGTTTTTAACACGCATCATTAAACAATAAGAAATGCAATGAACTTAAAACTATTGTTTTTATAAGTAGTAACGAAAACATTCCAAAACAAACCTCGTTTATGAATGAAAAGAATAATTTTTCTACAAAATATTTTGGTAATTACTTAATACTTAACACTTCTACAAGTTAAGTTTTGCAGTGCTAACGCTGTTTTATTTTATAACTAAATTTAAAGAAGCTTTTTTTTATGAAGGATTATTCAAGATTTTTTAACTTTGTGATAACTTTTTTATAATTACATAACATAACTCTTATTTTTTCTTAATTGTGTAGAGAATTAATTAGACCTTCAGAACAAACAAATTCTGTGTCTAGAATGGAAATTTTTGTACAAAACCAGGTAAATTATAATGCATACTCGAAAGCCGCTACCAGAGGCTTGCAGTTGTGAAAGAGTTAAACCATAACTAAATGTAAATTAAACAAAACGAACAACTCTATTAAACCATATGAACTAAATATAAAAAAAGAAACTGCATCATACTGCCTTTATTTTTTATTTGCTGCGAACTCTAATAATAACAAAATATGTATAATTTTGTCATGATTTTGGCTGGCATCTATTATATATTATATAATAGAAGTCACTAATATTTTTTGTGATTTAGTAAAAAATTATTCAAATATTTGATTTTCTGTAGTAGAAAAAATACTTTAATCTTTAAAACAACAACAACAACAAAAAAACGCTATTTTAAAAAGATATTACGATGACATCATATACCGAAACTGTTATGAATTAACACGCATAGAATAAATTATCAAGGGTGCAGATTGCGGCTAACATTATACAGACCCCGAGAACCAAAAAAAAATGAAGACGAGCTTTGACTAAAACAATCATTTTAATTTTGTTGGTATGCATTCATTATTCAGTTTCAATCAAAAGCATTTAGCCCAAATGTTTTTTTTTTAGCATTTTCTTTAATATGAACACAACTTGTCTCATCAGTTGGGGATATCTTTAATGTTTTTATTTTTATTTTTAAAATAAAAATATTCTGAATGTTTTTATTTTTATTTTTTAACTGCAAAACATGCGTGGAGTGTTGCTACATTGACTATTGACTCGCAACAGAGTGCTGCTACATCAACTGACAAATAGCCTGACTCGCAACGGAGTGCTGCTACATTGACTGAGGGTTTGGTTGGAGCAGGCAGTCTATCAAATAATTAAAAAAAACATAAAATTGACATTATATGGTAAAAACTTAAAGATGACCATGCAAGAGTATATATATATATATATATATATATATATATATATATATATATATATATATATATATATATATATATATATATATATATATATATATATACAATGTTTAATATTGATTATGGATATAATAATTTTATATCAATGAAAAACCTCCTTTAAGTTTTGAAATTATATCTAAAATTTTAAAAAATACATTTTTTAGTATCAATTGAAATAAGTATGTTGTTTTTATTTACTGTATTCAATTGAAAGCCGCAGCAGATTATAAATTACCTAAAATTTCAAAAAAAGAAAAAAATCCAATGACTGAAGAGGTGGTTTTAGATTTACTCTTTGACATCAAAATTTTGATAAAGTGGCTAATAATTAATTTAGTTTGCAAGTAAAATACATTAATTAAATTTAATTTTAAGTAAAATTTTTTGTGATCTACTTAAGAATAAGAATTGATATGAAATCTTCAGGAATTATCTTTTTTCAGATATTTCCGGAATTCCGAAAATTTCCGGAATTCCAGATATTTCTTAATTAAATAAAATTATATTTCTAATTAAAAAAAATATCCGGAATTCCGGATATTTTTTTTAATTTTTAGTTTTTCTAAATATCCAAAATATCCATACATACAAGTTTAGTTATATTTTTTTAATATATTTGTTTTTTAAGCTTTTTCACTCATCACTTGTAGAAAAATAAAGAAAAGTTTGAAAAAACTCAGCTAAAAGCAAAATTAAAAACAAGGGAAATTATATTCTGGTTTTTTTCTGGATAATTTACCTAAACAATTTTCCAGATATTTTAATTAAACAATTTTCTGGATTTTTAAAATATGACCTAGATGATCTATTAACCTTCCAACAGTTGAAAAATAAGATGATAACTTATTGTTTAATTGTTATCAATACTATGTAAAATCAGTAAAAGTCCTTTAGATTGTTTCATTTAACATAGCACTGCTGTTCTTTTTGATGTTTCCATTTGGAATTATTTTTACTTTAGGTTTTTTTAAACTACTCTTTCCAGTTGCTTGACAAGAGGTAGAAACTATTAAAACATGAATTAAAAACTGCATAATTTTTTATTTTATGACTCTTTTTCTAAAAATATAAAATGTTCAAGAAAAAGAGAGTTTTTAACTTGAAACGGCCATTTCTTTTTAGCGCCAAAATATATTTTGATGAAGTTTGAAATCTAATTATAAATTATGATTTTATTTCAGATTTATTGCTATCATTTTTTATTTTTGTTCCGATTGGCAAATCATGTGTTTGTCTCAAGTTTTTAGGGTATTTTTGTTCCGATTGGCAAATCATGTGTTTGTCTCAAGTTTTTAGGGTATTTTTGTTCCGATTGGCAAATCATGTGTTTGTCTCAAGTTTTTAGGGTATTTTTGTTCCGATTGGCAAATCATGTGTTTGTCTCAAGTTTTTAGGCTATTTTTGTTCCGATTGGCAAATCATGTGTTTGTCTCAAGTTTTTAGGGTATTTTTGTTCCGATTGGCAAATCATGTGTTTGTCTCAAGTTTTTAGGGTATTTTTGTTCCGATTGGCAAATCATGTGTTTGTCTCAAGTTTTTAGGGTATTTTTGTTCCGATTGGCAAATCATGTGTTTGTCTCAAGTTTTTAGGGTATTTTTGTTCCGATTGGCAAATCATGTGTTTGTCTCAAGTTTTTAGGCTATTTTTGTCCCGATTGGCAAATCATGTGTTTGTCTCAAGTTTTTAGGCTATTTTTGTTCCGATTGGCAAATCATGTGTTTGTCTCAAGTTTTTAGGGTATTTTTGTTCCGATTGGCAAATCATGTGTTTGTCTCAAGTTTTTAGGGTATTTTTGTTTCGATTGGCAAATCATGTGTTTGTCTCAAGTTTTTAGGGTGTTTTTGTTCCGATTAGCAAATCATGTGTTTGTCTCAAGTTTTGTAACTAATGTTTGTCTGTCAGTAACACATGTATATCTTAAATAATAAAACACATTGTTAAAAGATATAAATATACCTTTTGATTTTTTAAAAATTTATGGGAGTGAATTGAAAAAAAAAATTAAAAATAAATAAAAAATTTGATGGAAGTGAATTTAGAAGTTAAAAAACAATTTTTTGCATCTTTTTTTTTAATACTTATTATAATTTTGTTATTTTAATTTTGTTAAAACTTAAAAATTAAATGATGAAAACAAATAAATGTTTGACTTTATAATAATACAATTCTTGCATAGTTGTGTTCTGCATATTTGTGTTTTGCATAGTTGTATTCTTCATAGTTGTGTCATAAAATGTTTTGTTTTTACAAACTGTAAAAATTGTGCAACAGTGTCATCAAAGTTGCAAAATTTTCCAATATTTGAAAAAGTGTGACAAAAACATTGATTGCAAGATGGTTGATTGATTTGAATGCAAGTTGGTTGATTGATTTGAATGCAAGATGGTTGATTGATTTGAATGCAAGATGGTTGATTGATTTGAATGCAAGATGGTTGATTGATTTGAATGCAAGATGGTTGATTGATTTGAGTGCAAGATGGTTGATTGATTTGAATGCAAGATGGTTGATTGATTTGAAATTCAAGATGGTTGATTGATTTGAATGCAAGATGGTTGATTGATTTGAATGCAAGATGGTTGATTGATTTAAATGCAAGATGGTTGATTGATTTGAATGCAAAATGGTTGACTGATTTGAATGCACAATGGTTGATTGATTTGAATGCAAGATGGTTGATTTTACATATTATGAAAATTTTAATTGCCCTATTTATTTTTTAGCTTATTTGATATGGGTCTGATGCTTCTAAAACTTTTGATCAAGTTTGTTGATTCTGAATTAAAACTAATTCTTGTTGATGTAAGTAATTTATCTATATAATATATGAATATATATATGCCAAATATATTCATTTAAATTATATCTATATGCTATATATGTTATATTACTAGTCAACTATAAGTCTATAATTTTAATTGATCTATGATTTTGATGTTCTATTTAAAGTTTAAATATTTGGTATAATTTTGTTAGCAATTTTTATTTTTATTTCGTTGTGATTTTTATTTTTGTTAGCTTGAGGTTTTTATTTTAGGCATGTAATATGATATTTATGAGACTGTATTATCATTATTTGATTGGAGATCTAACTGAGGTTGTTTGTTTTTTTATCTTATTTGCACTTAGCATTTTTTCAAACTAATTAAACCTTATAATGTCCAAAAAAGTTATTTGAGTTTTTCTATGGAGTCTGTAAATGTTCACTTTTTTTCAGTTCATATAAAAAGATTTAAAAAAAGATTGGTTAGTCACATGGTGGTGTGACTAACTACTCTTTCTTGGACTATTCCTATGTGAATAGATGATAATGGTGATGCTGATGATGACGATCATGATGATGATGATGATGATTATTATGATGTTGATGATGGTGATGACAATGATAATGAGGATGATGATGATGATGATGATGATGATGATGATGATGATGATGATGATGATGATGATGATGATGATGATGATGATGATGATGATTTTACACAATAGGTATCAACATAATTTTTGTAGAAATTTTTTTCGATTCTTTGTTTAAAGTTTATTTTTTAATGGCACATAACATTGTTCTATATTGACATGCGACATAATTTTTTTATAAATCAATTTTCTTTTTAAATTTTATTAACTTTTCAGGAGTTTAATCTTGCATTGAATGATTTAAATTTGTTAAATAAAGGTTGTTGTTTTTCTAATTGTATTGTTTCTGTTTTTGATTGTATTATGGAGATATTTGTTATATTTTTTCTGTTTTTAATTGTATTATGGAGATATTTGTTAAATTTTTTAAAATACCCTTGATATTTATTTAGATATTTATGTTTTGGTAAAGGATTACAAAGACTTAAATTATAAAAAGTATGAAGATATAGATCTCTTGAATCTTCCAAATATTGTATGTTTTATTGGTGGTCAGATTTAATTTCATAATTTTTATTTTATCAGTTTTTACTTACAATTATGTCAAGTCTGCCTTTTATACGATTATTTCAAACAATGTAGCACATATTTGTTTGTTTACATTTTTATATTCATATTTATTTTTACTCTAATTATACAAATAACTTAGTTCTAATTATGCAAATAAAATTTATTTTCATATGAAAGCTTTTAACTATTTTTTGCTTGATGCTACTTGCTAGCTCTTTAGATAAAAAGACATATTTTTCATCTAAAACTGTAATTTGCCATCTGAAGGGTTAGTAATAAATAACTAAATAAAAAAATTTCAACAAAGACACAAATGACATAAGTATTTTAAGCTTTTTTTTTTTTTAAAGAAAACATAACATAAATACTTTTATATTATTTATGTTATGATTTTTTGAAGTTGATGTTGCGATGTATATTCTTTTTTTAATGTTATTCACCTTTGCAATGTTTAGAAGGACACTATAGTTGGGGAGGCTACTTTATTGTGGTTACAACACTCTCTTATAACTCTTTAACTCCATATCATAAATCTTATCAAATGAGGCCACTCTGTGGAGAAATAAGTTGATTGCTGTACTGCATTTTATATATTTGTATATATATATATATATATATATATATATATATATATATATATATATATATATATATATATATATATATATATATATATATATATATATATATATATATATATATATATATATATATATATATATACTGTATATGATGTCTTATAAAATATGAAGAAGAGTCATATGGAGAATAATATTTATATTTTTGCTGTACTGCATTTTATATATTTGTATATATATATATATATATATATATATATATATATATATATATATATATATATATATATATATATATATATATATATATATATATATATATATATACTGTATATGATGTCTTATAAAATATGAAGAAGAGTCATATGGAGAATAATATTTAACTAGCAGTAAGCAACCCGTAATACGGGTTAAAAATAACTAAACCATTAGTAACAACAAAACTTACTACGTTATCTAAAAATATATATCTAAATACAAATTTATTTGTAAATAATTTTACAGATAAATTTGTATTTAAAGTTCGGCTCCCTATTAGCTGTCATTGCTTATAGTTATAATTATTTTATAAAACAGCAAACAACGCGTAAAGTATGTTTATAGACGGTCATTATCAATAGTGTTAAGAAGTACGCAAGAGCTCCGTACTTATTCAGGTTTTATCTCGCTTTATTAATTCTTATTTAAGTGAGACTAAGACAGTGTTTCCAAGGCACCGTGTTAGAAAAAGACATAATAATTAACTTAAGGGAGTTACTGTTAAATATGACAAAAACTTTTTTTTTTTAGATATATATTTTTTTTAGAGTGAAGGCGTTTTTATTATCATTTAGTTGAAATTTTCCTTAACATCTTTAAATTTTTTGGAGCAGTTAAAAAATTTTATAATACTTATATAAATGTTAACTTCTAATGTCTAACGGGACACTTATTAATTTTTTTGGTAACCCCCTCTCCTTTATTAAGGAATTCTATTTAGCTTAAAAGCGTTTAATGTGCATAATTAAATTTTAGTTAATTACATAAAGGTCTCTCCATCATAGATGAAAAATGCATTTTAAACAGAAATTTTCAAATATTTCATGCTTCTAAAATCCGACCCTTCCGTTTATTACAAAATCACAAATTTATTTAATAATATTTTTTTTAACAAAACTTTATTATTTAATAACAAAACATAATTATTATTTGTGTTCTCCTGTATCGCATAAATACGTCACATGGTGTCTAAAAGAAAAATGTAATAGATAAGTAAATATAATAGAAAAGAAAAACATTTTTAAAACAGGAAAACAATTAACCTGTTTTTGGCAAACTGCAGTTGCTGTTTTGATGAAGCAATATTTAATGGTGTTGTTCAATGACATTATTTCATGCTGGCTTTTATTAAAGACGAAAAAATTAACATTTATTAAAAAACAAATTAAAAATGTTTTAAAGAATAGAACTATGCACAACACTAAAGATAAAAAAAAAAAACAAATTGAAATATAAACAAATTGTGTTTATAACAATATGTTTTGTCTTGGCTTTTAGTGAATGATTAGAAACAGTAAGCTCCATGAATAGAACTACCAATTAATCATTTTTAACGATAGACACCAACGGGAAGGTAAGCCAACTGTCTATCAACACAAATCATCACAACAATATTACAACGATAACGCACAACAAAAGCACATAAGATATTTATAAGTACACATTACACTTGCTCTTTACAATGGCAAAGTCAAACCACTTTGAAACCACTGCATAAAATAGACAAAGAAACAAACTATAAACATATCGTCACGATCATAGCACAATCGTCTAAGTAATTTTTTTCTTGTTTTGAGAAAACTAAAAAAAAAAAATGAATAACTTCGGTATTTCTTTTGCTACGTCACTTTGGCTTATTTTTGGCATCTTTTTACTTAGATGCTTTCATATATTGCTTTAGAAATGATATGTGTATTACCGTTGAGACACAATAGAATATAGGTCAAAAGCAATAAGATATAAGTAAAAAAGCGGATTTAAGCAGAAGTGAAAAAACTAAAAATCAACTCCTTTCTGATTGGTTTAAGGCGATTTGCCACATTATTAGACTGTTTAAGCTATATATTTCAACTCTTAACTTCCAAAAAACCCCCAAAAAATGACTTAGGCAATTGTGCTATGATCGTGACGATATAACATTATAAAACATATTAACACATTTAACACATTACATATTTGTATGTACATATGATGCTTAATATTAATAGACATTACGTGTTTCCAGAATAATTAAAAAAGACTAGACAACACAACCTAGCCACAACAAAGCAGTAACACCACTTGGCACTAAACGCTGCCAAGTCACACCTCTGCTTTAAGTACACCGCTTGGCTGGCAAGGTTAACTATCTTGCTCGACACGTTTGCCAAGTCACACCACTTTGAAAACATGGAAACAACGTAATATAAACATATATACACAAACTATAAACACATACACACAAACCCTAAACACATATACCTTGATAACACATATAGCCCAAGTATTACATGAACAATTTAAATAACAACTAACACATAACATAAATATAACACTTACATAACACCTATAACAATTATAAACATGTATAAAGACAAATATAATTACTAAAACAATATAAAATAAAACTATGAAAAAAAGTGAAATTATAACAAAAATCTCATAATTATAAATTAAGAACATTAGAAAATACAACATTATTTGTATAACACTTTTCACCTATCATACCTTGAATGGGATGTTTATCAATTTTAAAAAATAAACTATTAAATGCTCTAGTTCTTGAACATGCAACATAAACATGTCTTCACCAACAAATACAACTGCAACTTCATTATGTGAAGGGAGATTATAGCGACGTCTATCTTGCCCTTCAAGTAAAGACATTTTTACAACTGAGACTGAGCGACCTTCTATAGCTGCTTGGCGAATTTTTTCATCTTCCACTTCAGCCATGTTTTTAAATGCGAGAGCAAATGGGTTCTCCTCACTAATAATAGTTTGCAACCGAAACATTGAATCATTTAAGCAAAGATCATTACCAGGTTGTCGCATTCTAAAATTTATTGCTGCAAGTGGATCATAAATGTATAGTTGACAATATGTTGGAGGAATATCTTGATCTGGCCTAAGATTACCAACACGATGAAAAACCTGACCACATATTCTAAAACATGGCGGCCCATGATTCATGGGTTGAACTACATTAGCAGTAAATGAAGCAAAAGAAAGACAGGCATTATAATTTCGAATATATTTTAGAAAATTCACATTGGCATTTCGATCTACATAACTTCCTGTAAATAAATCTTGTAAATCTTGCGGAAATGGTGAAAGTTGAGACAAAACTACCTTTCCATTATGGCAACATAAAAAATGTGTTTCATCAGGAAATTTCTTAGCACCACAATGCTGACAAATATGATTCATTTCTCTTAAATAATTATAATCTGGAATAGTATTACTTCTTGCTATACAATGCATTCTTTCATGTCTACCAGCATATCTAGCATTCTGTTGATTATTAATTTCATCTCGCCTCAGCCTATTTCTTGCATTTCTGCGACGATTATTATCAACTTGCCTAATGACATTGTCCTCATTTTGATTCAAATTATTAGCAGCTTGCCGAGCAGCATATCTAATATTTTGAAGATGATTAATTTCATCTCGCCTCAGCCTATTTCTGGCATTTCTGCGACGATTATTTTCAACTTGCCTAATGACATTGTCCTCATTTTGATTCAAATTATTTGCGGCTTGCCGAGCAGCATATCTAGCATTCTGTTGATTATTAATTTCATCTCGCCTCAGCCTATTTCTGGCATTTCTGCGACGATTATTTTCAACTTGCCTATTAACATTTTCATCATTTTCATCCATTTAAATTTTACTTTTAATTGATAATAGTAACAAAAAAACTTGAATTAATCCAGAAGATTGTGATCTTTTTTTTTTTTACTACTCTAAATTGCACATACAAATTATTTTTAAAAAATGACAGGAAATTTTTATTTAAAATAAACTAAATTATACAACAATCTTGTGCATTTTTTATAAAAAAAATTTCATAAATATATCTGGTAAGAGATGTTTAAACAAAAAATTAACTCATAATAATAATCTAAATAAAAAAATAACGAATAGGATTAAAAAATAATGAATAATAAAATTTGAATAATAAATTTGAATAATAAAAGTGCTGCTTAAACAAAAAATAGAAAAAAAAATTAAAAAATAAAGTATTTGTAAACCCTTTTTGTAAACTTCAAATTATTTCTATAAAAAAATTGTTTAAAAAATATTAAAATAATTTAACCTTCACAAACAATGAAATGACTGTTCAAAAGTTGTAGTTTAATTTAATTTTCTAAATTCTAAAGAAATAAACAAAAATCTAACAGCATCATTGAAATGTTAATAATATAATAAGCAACATGACAAAATTCAAATTCAATATATAAAAGATCATTTATCTGTTTTTCTTTTTTCTTATTACTTACTTTTTTTTTTTTTCTTTATTATTAAGACTATCTATTTTACATATTAAAATATCTATATTAGATAAAAATTAGAAGATTAAATTTATTAAAGCTTAACATAAGTTAAAAGCAGTTATAAACACTAAACTATTGAATTCGAAACAATGAAAAGAAATAAAATCTGGTAAAAATCAACAAATTATAAACTTTAAAATATTAGAAATTTACATGTGGTTTTTTTTTACAGTTAATTATCTACTATAGTACATTTTTCTGATTTAACTGATATGATATATATTGGGGACAATTACAGTCATGTTATATTGTGAACCAAAAATTAAATGTCTAGTCAAAAATTAATAGTCTAAACAAATACTAAAAAAATAAAAACAAACAAAATTAAAATTATAAATTTATTTCATTGAGAATAAAACACCAAGGAAAAAACAGCAACAAAAAAATTGTAAATATCTTCACTGATTAAAGATATTTAAAATTTTTTTGTTGCTGTTTTTTCCTTGGTGCCTCCCAGCACCCCTGTATGGATGAGCTCTCCATTTAAATGAGGGCTCATCCATACCATTATTAAAGCACCATTTGTTAAAGGACCTCTCAGAAAGAGGTCCTGGGTGCTGGGAGCGATAAAGCCTGTAGCTGCTCCAATTTAGATCTAAAGAAATAAAAAATAATATAATAAAAAAAATAGATATTTGCATTTAAAATAATAATAAGATAAAAGCATAACTCTACCGGTTGCAGCAGTGCCAGACAATGCTAAAGAAATAGAAGGAAAAAAAAAGTAGAATAAAGTAAAAACTGAACATGTTGGTATTTGTGTTTTGAATAAAATTGCGATTTGAAAAAAAACGCATAAAAATATAAAACATAATCCTACCAACTGTAGTAGTACCAGATGACGATGCTAAAGAAATGGAAAAAATAAAATAAAAACCAAACATGTTCATATTTGTATTTTGAATAAAATTGCAATTTGAAAAAAAATGCATAAAAATATAAAACATAATCCTACCAGTTGTAGTAGTACCAGATGACGATGCTAAAAAAATGGAAAAAATAAAATAAAAACTGAACATGTCGATATTTGTATTTCAATTAAAAAATAAAGCATAACCTTACCAATTGTAGTAGTACCAGATATCAGCGCTAAAGAAATAAAAATTAAAATGAAAGTAGGGTAAAATAAGAGTAGGATAAATAAAAACTGAGCATGTTAATTTTTGTACTTTAATAAAAATATCAAGCATAACCCTACCAATTGTAGTAGTACTACCAGATGTCAATGCTAAAGAAAGGGAAAATAAAATAAAAGTTAGATAAAGTAAAAACTGAACATCTTAATATTTGCATTTTTATAAAAATATAAAGCATAACCCAACCAGTTGTAGTAGTATCAGATGGTGAGGCTGAAGAAAAAGAGAAAAAAAAAAAGTAGAATAAAATAAAAACCAAACAGGTTGATATTTGTATTTTAATCTAAATATAAAGCATACCCTTACCAATTGTAGTAGTACCAGATGTCACTGCTAAAAAATAGAAAATAAAATAAAAGTAGGGTAAAATAAAAACTGAACATGTTAATCTTTGTACTTAAATAAAATTATCAAGCATAACCCTACCAGTTGCAGTCATATCAGATGATGATGCTAAAAAATGAAAAAAATATAAACTAAACATGTTGATACTTGTATTTTATTTAAATATAAAGTATAACCCTACATGTTGAAGTAGTACCAGAGAACGATGCTGAAAAAAAGTGGGAAAAAAGAAGAAGAGTAGAATAGAAAAAAAACAAACAAAAAAAAAACAAATGTAATATTTGTATTTTAATAATCTACAATATAATTGCAAAAAAATAAAAAGCATAACCCTACCAGTTGTCACAGAGTTTGACACTAATAATGAGACTTAAAAAAAAATTAATGTTAAAAATTATAAAACATATAATAGTTAATAATAAAAAGTATGTATGTATCTAAATATAATTTTTACCTGTTTTCCTCATTTCTGCCATAAAATCATCTAAAACAAAAAAAAACTTGAAAATTTTATAAAAAAGACATAAAAAAAAATCAATCAAATCAGTAATTTGAAAAAATATCTTTAAATTAGGATAAATTAACAATGTTGAGTTAAATTTAAGGCTCTATCACTACTCTGTGTGTGTGTGTGTGTGTGTATATATTTATATATATAAATTATCAATTGGTAAAATTATAAAATAATTTATACCTAGTCTAAGTTTCAATTTTCCTATAAAGTAAAAAGCAAGTTAAAAGTAAACAGTACAAATTATTAAATCCTAATAACAAATATTTAATGACAAAAATACTGACTGTATTTCTTTAGTGCTTTGTCTAAACAATAAATTTAAATACACTTTTATTAAAATCTTTTAAAGACATATATTATAAAAATTCAATAATTTTAAAAACAAAATTAATTGCTAATTGGCTAACTAACGATTATACCTTTATCAGGTCGCTTATGATAAACTAAACAAATTATATATACAATTAACATCTTGTTTTAGACAGAAGTTATCATTAACATATAAATTTAGTTCTACTAAAATAGTTACAAAATTTAAAACTTACTTTCATCTTCCCCATCATTGTCAACTAAATGAAAATTCAACTCCAAAAATACTCTACTATATACTACTAATATTTTAAATTCTACTTAAATATTTAAAAAATCAACACTTACCTTCAGTTTCATCTCCGTGGTTAACTAAATAGAATTTACAATAATAATAATATAAATCAAAATATAAATGAAAAAATAATAAATTATACTTAAATATTTAAAAAATCAACACTTACCTTCAGTTTCATCTCCGTGGTTAACTAAATAGAAATAAATATTATTTACAATAATAATATAAATCAAAATATAAATGAAAAAATAATAAATTATAGTAAACCAAAAAAAACAAAAAATCAAAGTTACACATTAAATAAACAGAAAAAATATATATACTATATACTTGATAATGTACTTAAAATGTAACTAAAATTATTATTATGATTATTAATAAGTCTTATTTATCTTTTAAATCGTTCAAATAGTTTTCACATAGTTTAAATTTTTCCTTACAATAAGACTCCTTTGATGTTAAACAAATAAAATGTTTTGAAAAAGATTAAAATAAAAACTTTACCGTTCATTTTTCTTTTTTGCTAATCTATAATAATTAAATTAATAAAATTAAATATAACCTATAAAGTAAAAATAAGATTTTTACTTTACAACTCTTCATCATTTTATAACAACGTTCTAAAATAAAAAATTGCAAAATTCAACTTAAGTAAACATGTAAATTGAAACTATATAAAAATGATTTCCCTAAAAAGTTAAGAGAAGTTCGTCAGGTCTGGCTCGGTAGACCTTTTGAGTGGACCGCGTGTACTTAAAAAACGCGCTCTAAAAAAAGCCTAGAATCTACTTGAAAAAACAATAAACGATGACGTAACGCGACATTGAACATTGAATTTTTACAGTATTCATATTTAGAGATGCATAAGTTTCCACTTCTAATATTTAGTTTAAATTATTAAAATTATTTATAACATTGAGTCCTATTATTCTGTAAATTTCAAATCAATATCTTGATTTGCTTTAGTTTGTTTCTGAATCTTTATTGTGTATTGAGCTATTTTTTCTTTTTTTAGATATCTGAGATAGGACAAACAGGTTAATGAGATTTTTTAAAAATTACTCTAATTTGGGGTGAATAGGGGCTCTAATTTGGGGTGAATAGGGGTAGTGAGGTTAAAAATAAGGAAAAGTAAGAACAAAATCAGGAAAGTTTTTGTAATCATTAAGTCTTAATCAGTATTTCTAGGTGGCAATTTAGAATACCACCGTAGTGACAAGAATGTCCAAGGGGCATTATAGAATGTCAATTTTGTATATTTTCAGAAGAATTTAGCTATATGACAGAACATTGTTATAGCATTTAACTAATAATTTGCTTTTAAATAAATTACATTTTGATTGCATTTGCATAAGTTAAATATTATTTTTTAACAAATATTTGCGATAATCAAGTCTTTTTTAAACTTTTATTAAATGCATGTAACCAAATCCTTTTTAAACTTTTAACAAATTTATGTAATCAAGTCCTTTTTAAACTTTTAATAAATGCATGTAACCAAGTCCTTTTTAAACTTTTATCAAATTTATGTAATCAAGTCCTTTTTAAACTTTTAATAAATGCATGTAATCAAGTCCTTTTTAAACTTTTAACAAATTTATGTAATCAAGTCCTTTTTTAAACTTTTAACAAATGCATGTAATCAAGTCCTTTTTAAACTTTTAACAAATGTATGTAATCAAGTCCTTTTTAAATTTTTAACAAATGCATGTAATCAAGTCCTTTTTAAACTTTTAACAAATGCATGTAATTAAGTCCTTTTTGAACTTTTAACAAATTTATGTAATCAAGTCCTTTTTAAACTTTTAATAAATGTATGTAATCAAGTTGTTTTTAAAATTTTCGGTAAAACTATGTAATCAAGTTCTCTTTAAACTTTTAATAAATGTATTTAATCAAGCCTTCTAAATGTTCAACCTGATGGATTTTAAATTTTAGTTTTAACCTGATATATTTTAAACTTTAGGCAATGCTAAAATTTTAAAATGTTAAACATCAAAATGTTAAGTTACATGTTGCAATGCCAAGTTGGCTTTTAAATGTGTATAAAATTCTGGCAACTTAATAAATTAATAATTATTGATGAAAATATGGATGGCTAACAAACTTTTTATTCTGTAATTAACATTGTTTTATATAAAATTAAGTTGCTTGTTTTTATTTTGTGAAATAACAATATTTTATATTTTGCATCATTACCTGAAAAAGCAACACCTACCATAATTACCAATCACAAATTTACACAAAATTTTTCCTTTAATTGTCTGTCATATAAAACTAAAAAAACTTTTTGCTAATTTCTTTTTTCTTAAAGTCTGAACTGAAGTAGAACTATCATTTATTATTAAATATCAAGTAAACTAGCTGAAGTTTGGATTTTTCCATCTGCTACTGAACTAACAGATATAATGAAAAATAATTTTAAATTCAATTGTGTTTCCGGCTTTATTATAGTTACGATGTATCCAATTATTTATGAAAAAGAAGCAACAAGTATAGATAATCTCATAAAAAAAATAATGCAATTCTAAATTAAATAATGCAAAAAATTAAAAAAAAAAAACTTTTATTAATGAAAATGTTGAAATCTTTATCTTGATTATTTAGTAAAAGATGAAATTTATTTTGGAATTTTTTAGTACAGCTTTAAATGTCTGATTTCTTAGACGAAGAAAAAAAAAATGCTTATTTCAGTATTTATTGACCTCTTGATGGTAATAGCAAATATAAAAAATAAAAATAATGTACACAAAAATTGTCATTCAACACAACTATAAAGAAAAATAATTTGCACAAAGTTTTCAACGTTTTTTTTAATTTATGTAACTCAATATAAAACAAAAGAAAAATGATGTTCTTTAAATTTTCCCTATTCACCCCCAAATTACCTTATTAACCTAAAATTAATGTACTGTAGTTTTTAAGTCTCTTTTTGAGATTAAGTTTATAAGTACAACTTATATAAAGTTATAGTTGTTTAAACTGTTTTTTTCTTTAGATAATTCGTGGAAAAATGTGAGTTCAATTGTTTTCTTTTAGATAAATTATTGAAGTTTTTTTTTTTAAATCATGTATATGTATATATTTTACTCTTTTTACCACCCAAATCTGGTTGAAAAAGCTGCTTTTTTTTGTTAAAATGTTGTTGTACCCCTTTCTCAACCTTAAACAAACCTTGAAAAACAGAGCAAAACAATTTGAGCACATTGCTATCAGGGGAATGGTGGAAATTGAACTTAGTACTTCTTGTTTACAAAAGTATTCTCTCTACTTGTATACCAATACCTCATTATAATATCACAGTTATTGCATATGCTTGTTTACCATCATCTTTTCATCATCACCTTCTTTAACAGAGGTATGAAAAAGGAAGGAAAGAATCAAGATAATCAGAGTACAGAATTTTGAACTAAAAGTTTTTATTTAAAGAGCAATAAAGGATTTTGGTTAAAATATAATATTTTCCAGGAATTAATTCTACAGTTTTAATTTAAAAAAATTCTATACTTTTTTTTTTTACTTTGTTATCTTTCTACTACATCTTTATTTTATTCAAAAAATGACCTTGGTTAAATAGAAATAGACTGTTTCCATTTGATCTAGATCACGAAGAAGGAGTATATAGTTCTTTTATATGCACTCAGTTCTTTTATATGCACTCTTATTTTATAATTTTTCAGAATGAACCAAAAAAGCTTAACCCATTTTTACTCCATTGTCTTCACTTATGGAAGATTGTGTCAAGAAAAGCTAGATTAAACTTGAATGATTTTTTACATTTCAAAGAAGAAAATCTATCTAGTATTGCCTATGACAGCAAGAACTGGTAAATTAAATTTGTCAAGTGTAAAAATTTATCAAATTAATAAGCTATTTGTAGTTTACATGTTTACATGTTATCTTATATCATACTTATATTGTTTTACTTATATCATGAAATTACATAAGAAGTGAACCTGCAAAACCAGACAAGTCTGAAAACATTACGGGAAAATGAGAAAAATAAAAAACATTTTTTACTGATTCTGCAGAAATTTCAAGGATCTGTCTGATTATGCACATCTGACCTATTTGAAGATGTGTAGAACATGCCCACAGTACTTGGGGCACTAAATGCATGTAAAATGTTAGGAGTGGACTTGTCTGGTTTTACAGGTTCACTCCTCACATAATATAAATTATATATATTCTATAGTTCTACATGGTATCTCATAATTTATTCGTAGTTTATGTCTAGATGGTATCTCATAAGTTATTTTTACTTTATAAGCCTTTATGGTATCTTTTTAGGTTATTTATAGTTTCTTCAAGTTTGGTTTTAGGTTACACTATGCATTAGCATTTGAAATTTTAAGCGAGTGTGCTATCATAAATCTCAAGTGCCTAAAGATTTATTTACAGCTTGGATCTAAATGTGGTTATTTTTCATCTATTAACAAAGCTAAGAAGCTTTTAAATACCCTATCAGTTGGAAATTTATTTTCAAAAGAAAAAGAATCTCTCTGTTTTGTTAAAAATGGTGGTAAGATTTTCATTTCTAAAACTTTATTATTTATAAACGGGTTTGATTTAAACTGAGTTAAGTATTACTAAACATGTTTTATACTTGACATTTTAGACACATGCTGTATTTTATCCAAGGCTCCACTACAAATTACCTTTTTTTTACATTACTTTTTTTTAAATGAAACCAACCTGTTTACAGATTTTAAAGAATTTACTGAATGTTTGAGACAAAATATTGTCCAATGTGGTACTCAGTGGTACTTAGTTTTGGATTGCTTTTATAGAGATTGTGTTGGTTCTATTCACTTGATTAATTTCATAATGGACAGTATTATGTACAAGGATATCATTTAGAATGTTATATAAAATACTCAATGATGGATTTTTAGTGTGACAAGTCATATAACAAAACAACTACACAATTAACTTAGTTTAAGAAAATTTTAACATTATAAATAAAAAAATTTTACAAATCATCTCACTAAGAAACATATAGGAAACAAAACAACTGAAAAACTGAACAAAAACACTATTCAAGCAGCAGCATTGTAGCAATAACAAAACTATATTTTTACACAAAATCATTAATAAGTACTTCTTTTAGTAGCTACAGCACACCATCAGGTAAATCTTCCTTTTTTAGGTTGATATGGTGTTCTCAAATCAATAATAATAGGATCTGATAAATACATCAATTGCATTTACCAATCTTCATTTAATTTGGAGGGAGGGTATTTTCTTGGACTCCAGGAACTTCTTGGAGTCCTTGGTAACATGCCTAGAGTTGCAAAAATACACGTTTCTTTTCTAATGCATTTTTTTGGGTCAAAAAAATGTATCTTTTTTTGTGTTATTCTGCTTTTTTTAGCAATTTTTAAATTTTTATTGGCATAAAATTTGGAATAGTTTTCTTTTATTCTAGTATATTTTTAGTATACGATTTTTAAAAGCGCAATTACATGCATAAACACCAATTTAACTTAAATTTTCAATAAAAAGTTAAATTAGCTCTAAGTTAGTTCTATTTAATCAGTGAATGTTTGTCATGTTGAACTTCCTAACAACTGTGATATATATAGAAAGTATTCTTATCCTAAAGGTCATACATAAATTACATCACGCTTTAAAGGGGGAGGGAGGGTTTGTGGTTTTTTAATGACTCATACAAAACTTGCTTCTTAAGTGTTACAATTTTGTGACGCTGGGCAGGGGGAGGGAGGTCAAAAACGATCAAAAATTGCGTGTTGTAATTTATGGATGACCCCCTATAAAATAAATTACTATTTTACTTTTGATAATGTAAATATATTAGTATATAATACCATGCCAATTTAATATCAGATCTCGAATGCTCAAAGAAATAAGCAATCTATCAAGATTATTTATTTCTTTGAGCATTTGTATATTGTATATTAATTAAGTATTACATCGTTTATTTGTTATAATTTAAATTTAAGAATTTTGAGTTACTACTATTTACTGAGTTTTCCAGACCACCTTCATCTGATGGTTTGTAATTTATTCACAATTTTTTTTTTATCTACATTTATTTTACATCTAGACATTTTCATATAGTACTATATCAGGACATTTGCAAAATTTTTCAACTTTTGCTTTGTTGTTCAAGGTTTTTAGACATATTATGGCAAAGAGAACATTTTTTCCCATTTGCTAATTTGGTTTCATGGGCAACTAAGGTTTTATTTCTGCCCCCCCCCCCCTTAGAGCTTAATCATAATTAATTACCAACAAGAAGACCAAAAAGAAACCACTCATTTAAAGATATCTTTTTTCTCTCTATATTTATGTAAACATAGATATTATGGTGCTTTTTAGATAGAAAACCCCTTTTAGATAGAAAATCACAACTCAGTGTTTTAAATCCTTTTAAAGATTTTATATACTTTTTATAAAATTTTCGAAACATAAATAAGCATTAGTGGATGAGTATTTATGTATATTATTTAAATATATTTGTTGTTTGATTTAATTTTTTTAAAAAGTTACCCACCATAGCAATCATACATTAATGTTAAGCTATTTGAAAAGATAATATGTTTTGATAAGATAAAAGATAATATGTATTAGGTGGGCATATTATATATATATATATGTATATATATATATATATATATATATATATATATATATATATATATATATATATATATATATATATATATATATGTATATATATATATATATATATATATATATATATATATATATATATATATATATATATATCAAATAAATCACAAAACAGAATAAATACACACTAAAAATCATCTCTGAAAACATTAAAAAATAATAATAAATCATTATATATTTGTAATATTACCTTTCATGCAATCAAAGATAATTAAATTCATTTTGAAAACGCATATTTTTCAAATATTTGTCTTTTTTAATATAATGGAATAATTTCAGTAACACTTTGTTTTTTAGAAGGTCATATAAGCAATCAAAGAATTTAATTAAAAAAAGCAAGGCAAGTTGAACAAAAAATTTATATAAAAATAATGTTACTAGAAAACGTATAGCCAGTATCGACAATTTAAACAGTTTTAAAAAAATGCCATCTAATGCTACAGTGATTAGAAGATAAATCAATTGTTTGTTTAGAAAAGTCAATGTTAAATTGAATCAAAATAATTTGCTTAGAACTGAAAGAATTGTGAAAAAAAAATTTTTTTCCTACTTTATCAATGCAATCTGTTCATGGTAAAGTAAAAAATCTAATAGCAGATTATAATAAATATTTAAGAAAACCAAAAAAAATCAGCTAACATTTCTTTTACCCAATTGTTTGATATTACTGATTTGAAAGGTGTGTCGCTAACAAGTGAAGACAAAAATTTTTTAATTTTTAAAAATGTCTTAACTATTTTTTAATTTTTAAAAATGTCTTAACTATAATGAACACCAAGTAGTGGTTCTGAAAAATGGTCAAAAGAAGTAAATTTAGATGTTCTTGTCTTAAAAGATAATCAAGCAGAAACGATTTTTAATTGATTGGTTAAAATTATTGGCTCTTTTGATTTGTGGAATAAGATTACAACAGATACAACTGCTGTTAATACTAGTAAAAAAAAATGGTACAGTAACTAGACTACAAAATAAATTTAGTGACCTTTGATAATCCACAGTAGGTTTCATATCAATATCATGTTGTGGACAGTGTTTTGAAGTTGTTCATTGATTTTGTATGTCCTGAAAAGTCTACATCACCTGACTTACACTATTCTTTTATTAAATTCAATAATTTTTGAAAATTACAAAATTCTTGTCGAAGCATTTAACATCAGTGGTCCTTCTTTAAATTGCAAAATTTTAGGATCGAGAGATGATATGAAATTGCTTTACAGTCTATGCAAAGCATATCTTTTTTATAAAGAAAATAGATGTTTTCCTAAAATTAATTTTCCTAATACATTACCATCTCTTCACGATGCAAGTTGGAGTTCAAAACCAATTTATGTATTTAAGCTATTTTTTTGTTAACTTATCTACAACTTGAAGTAGTTTGTAATTTTATTAGTGGTAATTGACACAAAATATGGTTTAAGGAACATATTTTTAAATAAAATGATTTTAGTGATCTTGAAGAAGATATCAAGAAAGTTGAACTGCCAGAAAAATTGCCAGAAAGCTAATAAAAGATTGATAAGAAAAGTAATTGCCATCTCTTTATCGAGCTCGACACTTTCTTACTCCGGATTCTATTCTCTATCTCTATAAATCTCAAATCTGGCCTTGTATGGAATACTGTTACCATATCTGGGGCAGATCTTCTAATGATGCCCTTTCTCTTTTAGACAAGGTGCAAAAACGCACTGTAAACATAGTTAGACCTGCTCTTGCAGCCAACCTTCAACCGTTATCACATCATCGTAATGTTGCTTCTCTTTTTCTTTTCTACGAATACTGCTCAAAAGAGCTAGTGACTCTTGTGCCATCTACTAAAATTCATTCTCATGTTACTTGTCATTTAATTAAGTCTCATCCTTTTTCTGTGACTGTTCCTAAGTGCTCCAAAAACTCTTATTCCTCTAGTTTTTTACTCAAACATTAGTTCTTTGGAATTCGCTTCCTTAATCTTGCGTTCCTGATTCATATAATTTGCAATCTTTTAAGTCATCTGTCAGTAATTATCTTGCTCTACAATTTTCATCTTTTTTCTTTCAGTAACTTCCAACTCTAATTAGTGGTTGCTTGCAGCCTTGTTGGAAGCAAAGATGCTTAAAAATAACAAAATAAAAAAAAGCTCTTGTTTGAAAACGCATTGGACTAAAGAATCATCAATTATTGCAAACATCCAGGGCAGTAATATATGTGCTGAAAGAGCAATAAAAGTTGCTCAAGATTTTCCTTGATGTATAAACTCTGAGAAACTTAATTTAAAATTTATTTTGTCTAATATTAAGATGTAAAAAAAAGAAAATTTATTACAAACTGCAAATGCAAACACAATATTGTTTTAATGGTTAGAAATATTTTTGTTTTTTATTGGTGGGTGATCTTTTTCAAAAATTAATGCAAATGAATATGATTTTATGTTGTTATATATAATTGTTCATTAGATAATATGGGACATATGTGTTGTAAAAATATATATATGTTAGTGTGCGTGTATATATATATATATATATATATATATATATATATATATATATATATATATATATATATATATATATATATATATATATATACATACACACATACATACATACATACATACATACATACATACATACATACATACATACATACATACATACATATATATATATAAATCAGTTGTATAGATAACCATATATACAATCGGTTGCTAAATTAGCATCCACTAAGTTTGCTTCTCTTTATTGTGCTTGCCATATTCAACCCCTGATTCCATTCTCTATCTCTAAAATATATATATATATATATATATATATATATATATATATATATATATATATATATATATATATATATATATATATATATATATATATATATATATATATATGTATATATATATATATATATATATATATATATATATATATATATATATATATATGTATGTATATATATATATATATATATATATATATATATATATATATATATATATATATATATATATATATATATATATATATATATATATATATAGTATTAAATGTAATTAAATATGATAAATGTAAACAATATATGTTTATTGTGTCAATATATAACACTAAAACCAATTAAGATAAAATCGAGGAAGATAAAATTACCTAAGAAGTTTTTATTCAGGACTGCTTCTGTGACTGTGTTAACCTTAAAGTATACCAAAATAAAAAGAATTTCAGTAAATTTCAGTATTAGTTGTCCTATTTAAATTTAAAATTAAAATATGAATTTAGATATTGTCATCAGAGTTAAATTTTATAGCTTAAATTATGAAAATTATAAATATATCCTGAAAAAATATAAAAAAACAAGAACCAAAAAACCTCTTGTACTTTTAATTATCAGAATATAGGTATAGGAATATAGTACCATGACTACAGGTTCACATATCATTCAGCTGTTGCAGAAATCTCTAAATGATGCAGAAATCTCTAAATCAAGAATTTCTGTTGAATTAATGTTGTTTTATCTTAATAATTTTGATCCCATTTCTTTATTGTTAATTTATAGCTTATTTTGATGGTTTGATTAATTTATAGCTTTGGATAGTGTTGTGGCAGCTTTCTCTCTACAATTGAATTTCAATTTAGTGCAGAACTGTAAAACTTTCATAATTTGTAGTAAAAATATTTTCAATTAATTTGGTAAAGTATTAATTACTGCAAGTGAATAATAAACTAGCTTAATCAGCTATGATCAATCAAAAGGTTTTGACCAGGTGAAAAATAGGCCCAAATTAAAATTTGAGGACCTATTTTTTATTTTCATTATTTTACGTTTATTTTACGTTTTTAAGGTAATTATTGTTTTTGTCGCGAAAAAACGCCGATTTTCAGCTAAAGTCCGCCGAAACGAGGGGGTACCGCCGCCCAAATTTTTTTCCTAGAATAGAATTTGATAATATATAGTATATAATATATAGTATATAATATATAGTATATAATATATATATATATATATATATATATATATATATATATATATATATATATATATATATATATATATATATATATATATATATATATATATATATATACCCGACGGGCATTTGTTTTTAAAAGTTACGATCTAAATGTATTTTAAATGTCTTTTAAACGTCTTTTAAACATTAATGTTTAAAAGACGTTTAAAAGATATTTAAAACACATTTATAACGTAACTTTTAAAAACAAATGCCCGTCGGGTATATATATATATATATATATATATATATATATATATATATATATATATATATATATATATATATATATATATATATATATATATATATATATATATATATATATATATATATATATATATATATATATATATATATATATATATATATATAAATTTATATATATATATATATAAATATGTATATATATACATATATATATATATATATATATGTGTGTATATATATATATATATATATATATATATATATATATATATATATATATATATATATATATATATATATATATATATATATATATATATGTTAGAGCCCTGCGAAGCTTCAAAATTTCGAATTGAATCAAAAAAATGATTCGAGATTCGGTTCGAAAATTTTTAAAAATCAAATCCTTACATATTTTGTTTTTGTTGTGGGTATTTTAGATTCTGCGCTTTGGCGCTATCGAAATAACGTTACTTATCATTAAATGCCTTTTTAATCCGTCATTAAAAAGGTAAACTAGGACAAGAAGTATCAATAAAGTGATTATACAATTTTTTTATTTTGAAATATGTATTATTAAATAAAAAATGCTTAAATTTAGACTTCAAAATGTCGATTCGAAACGTGATTCGAATCGCGAATCAAGACCTGCTTTGATTCGAGATTCGATTCGAAACAAAAACTGCCGATTCACAGGGCCCTAATAAATGTATATATATATATATATATATATATATATATATATATATATATATATATATATATATATATATGAATTTATAGATTTAAGTGTTTCTACAAGTCCTAAGTATTGCGATGGTATTGGTATTAGATGGAGTCATTTTACGATAGCATTTTATCTAAAGTGCTTAAGCAAAGTTTGTATAGCTGGTATTACTACTGATCATCAAAAGTTATCATTATTTGGTGGAAAGCACTATTTTGGTTTAATAGACTATTTAGATTGTGATTCAGGTGATTTTTTTTGTCTATTTTTTATGTAAATAATAGAACTCAATGGGACGACTGAATAAGTGCGCACTTATTCAGTCGTCCAAACTTATTGCAAAAACTAGAATAAGTTCGCATAAGTGCGAACTTATTCTAGTTTTTGCAACTGATTCGTACTTATGACAGTTCGCAGCTATGCCAATTTGGGTAGTCGGTAAAATACGAACTTTTTTGCGATCCACAGATCTATTGGTTGTTAATGATGTAATATTTTTTATTTTCTGTTTGCCCTTAAATTGTTTGTTTTGCTATATATTTTATGGACTTCAACCAGAAACATAAATTATAATTAGTTTTAAAAAAAAGAAATACAGTTTAATTTAAATAAAGTATATCAAATACCATTATATTTAATTTTAATTAAAAATTTGATGAGCAAACGTTTTTAAATTTTCGTTGTTGTTGTGTTCATTAAAATATAATGTCTTGGTTTGCATAAAAGATCTCATTTTACCGGTTTGCGGTTCGCAGTTAGCAGGTCGCATTTTACTGACTACCGCCAATTTGTACTAGTTCCAGTTTTTTCAACTGCTTTGCATATATGCCAGTTTGCACTTATGCCAATGTTTCAAATTCTTATGGCGTATTTATGCCAGTGTGCACTTATGTTTGTTTTTGCAACTGCTTTGCACTTATGCTAGTTCGAAATTTGCACCTATTCAGCTTCCCAAACTCTTTTATACTCTATTGCATTTTAAAAACAGATACTGAAATACTTACCAGACTTTAAAATAAATGTTTAGATACCAGACTTCAAAAGAATGCTTATAATCTGTTAAAGTTTATTTATTTATCTGTTGAAAGTAACCATGTGAATGAGGTCTTAAAAAATGAAATTTTTCAAAAGTTAGAAGAATTCAAAGAATATTCAACCAATGATCTCATGGTGATTTTTTAAGTAAAATTATAAAAAGTTGTTTTTTAATTTGTTTATTAAATAATGCTTTTGTTTATTTGATATTATACTCAGGTTATGGTTCCTATAAACCAGCATCTAAATCGTATTCTGTTCACAAATATTGCTACAAATTTATCGATAATTCAATTTGTCACAAACACTTCAAAAGCTCAACCTCGTACTCAAGCCAAGCCTAATATACAAATTACCAAACGATTAGAAAACTTGTCTGTAAAGTATATCTCACCTGTAAAACAACGGTAATTTTTTTAAAAGTATTGTATGTAAGTTTTACAGAAAAGCAAAACTATTTTCTATGTACATGGTGCAACTTATTTTCTTTCAAATTTTTGTTTATGTAAAGTAATCGCATGTTCCTATAAATGCATGAAAGTATACGAATGCAAGAGAATCGTTTATATTGTAGTTGAATATATACGCATATCTGTAGTAGATTTGTATGCGCATCAGTAATATCTGTAGTAGATTTGTATGCGCATGCGTAATATATGTCAACACAAGCGCTATTGTAGCTCGTTATACCCATGATAAAAAAAATAATAGAATGTTGTGATATCTTTTTATGTTGCTAGTATTGGAAGTATCTAAACTTATAATATTTTTTGAGCTTTAACCATTTAGTAATCTCCTCTACATGGTTCGGATATTGCTTTTTTATCTGCTATTTGAAGTCAATGGCACCATTTGGCATCACTAGGAAATAAAGAATTAAAAATACATTTTCTAGCGTTTTCACCATCTTTGTACGTCTGAAGTGTTGCGTTTCATATGTTTGTATTGCACTCTACAATTTTATTTATATTAACATATATTAAATAACCCGTATTTTAATATAATAAATGAACGTGATTTTTAGATGTAATTTGTGTTCAACACGTCTCTGTCTTCTGCTTTGCAGAACCTTTGTCATTGACCGTCATAAACAATATTTTCTGAAGAGTTTTTTGCCATCGTAACATTTCATACTGCATCTGCAGTTTCAAGAAAACCGGTTTCGTAATTCGTAATTCAGAATTCGTAATCCTTAATTATTTAACTAATTATAAATTATTCAAGAAGATCGGTAAAATTGTAATCTTGGTTTATTTTGTCAATTATTTATTTTTAATAATCTTTATGGCCTTTTATTCTTTTTGACAATATGTGTGTGTGTGTGTGTGTGTGTGTGTGTGTGTGTGTGTGTGTGTGTGTGTGTGTGTGTGTGTGTGTGTGAAGAAGTAGCATTTTCACGTGTATTTTTTGTGCTTTAAGCCTTAAGTATAAAGTGAATATTTGACATATTCATGATTTCTACCAATGCAGAAAATTTGTTTCTTAGCACATGCATAAAATATTCAAAAGTTTCTTTTTTTTTTCTTTAAAGCACTTTCCTAATTAAAAAAAAAAAAAAAAACATTTAGCATATAAAAAGTATTCATATTATGTAACTTAATATAATGAAGTTAATGTAAATTTATAATATGACATAAAAATGTAAAGTAGTATGATAATACATACTATAGTATAATAGTTAATAAGTACTTAAAGATAAGATATGCGATAGTGGTGTAGTGGTAAAACGCTCGCTTTTTAAGCGAGAGGTTCCGAGTTCGATCCCCACCACGTCCCTGGTAATACCGCGCTCAACTTGTTTCTTTGCGCAGCGGACTTGTTTGTCAGGGTTTGTGTTTCGGAGTTATAGATTTGAGAGAGGGTTATAACCACTATAATTATATTATAAGCCTCCTCATCTGTAGTGGTCTTCTTCGCCTTGAGGAGGTGAATAACAAAAATAATAATAATAATAAAAGTGCTTAGGGGGCATCCATAAAGTACCTACGCAGTAAAACCATCAATTTGGGACCCCCCCCCCCCTCTTCCACCTTGTACGAACCTGCGCGCTTTCGTAGACCCTCCCTCCGCGTACGTAAGGTTTTTTTTTTTTAATTAACTCAATTTCTTTTTTCTCTCATTATTTATAAAAGAACTAAAAAAAAAAAAAAGTCAGGAAAAAACACAATTCTGATTTGTTACACACATGAAATTCAATGTTTTAAAAAAATAAAATTAAAGTTTAGGAGAGATAATCAAACCGCGTACGTACACTGTCTTTAACACCCCTTCTCACCCCCATCCACCTTTAACGCGTTTGTACGCTTTTGGGAAACCCCCTCCCCCATACCTGTGTACGTATTTTATGGATGGCCCCTTAGAAAGGTTTTTATAAGTAAAGCTAGTTGATCTTTTTCTTATTAACTAACATATGTAAAAACAAAAGATTTGTATACACTTTTAAGTAGCAGTAGATAAAGATTAATGATTAAGTTAAAAACATTTTAACGATTTTTTTATTTTTATATTGTTAATAATTTTAAAAATAAAAATATTTAAGGTTCCATATTAATATACACCAAGGTTCCATATTATTATCTCGAAAAAAATTTGGTTTTTGCAAAAAAATAATCACTTTATAAAAGTTTATTCATAACCAAGTTTTTATTACTTATTTATCATTAACGTCCACGATTATAGGTTTTTTTTGGGGTTCTTTTTTATTTACCTGCTATCTAAAATTCCATTGCGCGGTTTTCAAATTGCACTGATTTTAACACTTTTTTAAAAAAAGCTGAAGTTATGCCAAAAAAATTAGCTATTAAGAATTACTTATAACCGTTCTTAGCATTAAAAACTAAAAGCTTATTAATTGATTTTCGAAATTTCACATTTTCTAAAAATAAAAAAATTTTATCAAATGAAGGTTTATTGCTGGGGCACTTTGCTAAATATAAGTAACTAAAAGTTGCTGAAGACATTATCAAAAAGAATTTTATTTTTTTACTGTTTAAACTTATGAGGAAAAACTAGATTTTTTTTTTTTTTTTTTTGTAACAAATAGATTTTTAAATTTGTAAATAAAAATATCTTCTAATATATTTAAAACTGCATAGTTATACGAAAAATATATTTCTTTTAATATAACAAAAACTTTAATATAAAATAATAATAAAAAACTATTTTAATGTAATAATAATGAAAAGATATTTAGTAGTTAGTAGAAAAATATATTTATTTTTATATAATTTTGATATAATATAATAAAAAAATTATAAATTTAAAACTATATAATATAATATAAGATCTATATATATTTAAATATATAAGATCTTCATATATTGAAAACTGCATAATTAGTAAAAAAATATATTTGTTTTAATCTAATAAAAATATCTTTTTATTTATTTAAAACTGCTCAATTTGTAGAAAAATATATTTATTTTAATATAATAATAATAATTTTGTTTGACAATAATTATTTATATATATTACAGACAGTATAATTAAAAATTGAGTTTTTTCAAAATATTTTTAACTTGAATGACTAAATTATTTATTGACCGTTTTTTAAGACAAATTAAAAACTCATCCAATAGAATTTTTGTTTCTATTTTTGAAAAGCACGTATTCGCAATTCTTACTTCTTAATGTACTTCAAATAAACCCTGAAAAATTTTTACTCATCTAATAATATAAAATTTGAAAATATTTTTATAAGTTTAAGTTTATTATTAATCTCAGTTTTAATTCTTTACTGTCTTTTATTATTAATAATAATTTATAGAAATTACTATATAAAATAGTATAAAAACATTGCATTTATGTTAGTTTGTGTGAATTAGTACCTATTTAATAATATCAAACTATTTTTTTTTTTTTTTTTTTTTTGCTACAATAAATTGCTAATAATATTTCTAGATAAATTTAAAAAATTTAGATAGGTTTTTTTTCTGAGCTAGTTAAGTCTTCACTATTAAAGTGATGTGTCTCTGCTTGTTCTTGCGGTAATTTAGGTTTATTTACTGGTGAGTTTTTAGAAGAGATAGTTAACGATGATCTCCGACTTTCCTCTATTGCTCGAGATATTCCTTGACCAGTGATGATAACAGCAGCATATATACCGAACGATGCAAAACACAGAATGCAGCTTATTACTAAAAAGCTTGTTGGACCAATAATGTCAAATAGTTTACCGATCAGTAGAGGGATTGTCATTTCACCCATTCCAGAACAAACAACAAAAAAACATGTTATTGTGCCGGTCAATCTAAAATAACTTTCTGCCATTGAAACGCTAGTTGGAAATATGTTGCTCAAGCAAAGACCGAAAGTTGCTGTACCAATCCATAGCGATATTGCTTGAAATCTGAACAGAAACATTAGCAATATTGAAGATAAACATCCTATGATATCTACGAGAAGCATTATACGAGGAGAAACGTACATTGATACGAAAATTGCTAAAAGTCTTCCTGCAGCTAAAGCTCCCCAAAACAAGCTATTTAAATAGGCTGCGTCGTCGTGCGAGATGCCAATGTTGCTTTTAATAGCATATGTATAAATATAGCTTCCAAAGGAACCTTGCAATCCGTCTGATATAAAAACCATGGATGCAATCCAAAAACTGATGCATAAAACCTGAGATTTTATATTTGGATCAATTTCGCTTCTTTCACTACGGGAAAGAGAATCGTCACTAAGAGAAGCAACAGAGTCTTCTTCGCTATCTGATAAGCTTCTTCTTCGTTCTTCCTGCTCTCTTTTACGATCTACATAAAATAGATACCACAACCCTGATGTTACGGTTATGTGAATTGCAGCAATTATGAAATACGCATAATGTACGCGAGTACTCGTTATTTTTGGAAGAACCGATGCTGGTTGTGAGGTAGCATTTAAAGATAGCATAATCTCAGAACTTTTGCTATGTTTAATCCAATGGTTGACTCCAATCATATTATGCCGCCGACGTCTAACAAATGCAAACTCCATTAAATCATCAGTAAACCCATTGTTACATTCTTCACTCAAAAACCTACCAGCAATAATTGGACTCAAAAATGCTCCTAAACCATAGAAAAAAAATAAGGTCTGTAAATAAGGAGGTACTTCCTGGCCATGCATAATGATCATTCTAAGGTTCGTTGCGGTGTCTTGAAATCCTCCAAATAATCCATGAAGTGCAGTCAAAAGCAAAAGTGTACCTAACACTCGCATCATTGGTAAAATAGCTAGTGCTACTGCATGGAATGACATAACGGCTGCTAAAAATACGTTATAATTAATGGCAAAACGGTCTGTAATGACTCCACTAAATATAGCACCCATGAGAGCACTGCTGGTTTGAGCAAAGAAAACCCAACTCATTTGCCCGACATCTTCGCCAGTGAGGCATCCTAGCTCCAAAACGGTTGGACCTATAATTGCCATGGATGATCCAAAGCATAAAAATCCACAACACAAAACAAAGCTGGCTTCTATTTTGGGGGTGCAGAAGGTTTTTTTGGTAATACTTGTATCATTTTTTGAGTCATCTGATTCTATAGCATTTTCTGACAAACCGCTGTTTCGCCTTTTATCATTGAGTATTCCTTTTTTTGGCACTCTTGGTGTACTAGAGGCACATGGTTCGTATGCTGTTGGTGATTGGTTTTTTATTTCTTTCTCCATTTCAAATAGTCATGTTAAATTTCTAATCCATTATGTGGACAAAGTTCATTATGACGTACAAACTTGTTTAATTTTTAAAGGAAACTGTTTAAAAAGGTTCAAGGAAGAAACAAATTTTTGTCAGCTGTTTTTACCCACCTTGTGAATGTATATCTGTTCACAAACTACTTACTCAACTGCATTCATGCGTGCAATATATTTATTTTGCGTATTAGTTAGGTTTCAATGATGAGTGTTTGTTGTTCGTTTATGTTTGAGAAACTGTAACGTGAAGAAGAAAATTTCAATAATTACGAAAATGTAATTTATTTGTAATATGTTTTAAAAAGAAATTAAAAGAGTCTATTTTTGGTTATGATAATGATTATAATTTATTGTGAAAGTATTATAAAACAGTGGTGCAACCTGGGTAATTCAGCATATGTAGATATGTAGAATATTTCACATAAATTTGTGGAAAAAAAAAAAGAAAAAAAAAAGGAATAGATATTAAAAATTCTCAATTTTACAAATTTCAACAAAATATAAAAAATATCTTGTGTCTAGTATGTTTAAAATATAATACTTCGGTAATAAATTGATATATCAAGTTTATTATCTAAGCAATGTCTACAATGTTTTAATAATATTTCAGAAATTTTTGTTTTACTTTAGTAAAAAAAATTATCTCAGCGCTATTTTATCTTACCGCAAGCATTTTCTCAAAATACATGCGTATTTTTCTCAAAATAGACAAATATATGTGCATCAAGTACATGCTTGACAGAATGTCTTTAGACAAAATGAGGTTTAAAGTGATATATCAAACTAAATGTTTAAAATATATTGATAAAATGTTTTCAGAATTGTTGTTTCAAATTTAAGTTTAAATAACAACTTTGTCGTTTTTGTCGTTTCTGTTCTAGAAAACAAGGGATTTACTCTTGGTATCAATGTTTTTTTTCTTTAAAAGGTTCCAGATAAACCGGCTTCTTAGTATTTTTAGGACTCTTTTACTTTGATCTCACGTTTTTCAACCATAATTTCTAAAAACAAGCAGTCTGTAAATAGAAAGCATTTGAAAGTAAAATTCGCTCATATTTTTTGCATTGAAACTTCAATCATGACGTTCTCAAAAAATTAATAAATGGGAAGCTGGTTCAAAAGTTAGGCATCAGGAGGTGTGCGATTATATTAGCGATTGTATATTAGAGATACCATACATACTTGGCCTATTTACCTAATAGTAAAAATGTAGCTATCCAACTACTTTTTTACTAATCGATATCTGGCCGTGTATTGCGAACTAATTCGCCAAATTATGAAATTAGGTTGCAACACCAAATATAACTTGCTGGATTTAGTTTTTTGAGTGACTAATATCACGAGTGACAATTTTAACTTGTCAATTCAATTTAATAAATTTTATGTTCATATATATATATATATGTATATATATATATATATATATATATATATATATATATATATATATATATATATATATATATATATTGTGCATTTATGTTAAATTATAATTTTTTAGGACATCCATTTTTATTGGTCCTAACTTGCATACCTTCGTTAAACGCATGGCGCCAGAGTTAAAAAATGTGGTAGCAGACCAATATATAAAAGAGTTGATGCAAGAAGATGCTTTGAGAGAGGAGTATGTTTTAAAAAAAAAAACGAAACAAAAGAGCCGGAGAATGCATAATATTTGAAAAAAAAATTGTTGTTTACTTTGATAGTTTTAATTAGTGTTAGTGAAAAACTTATATATTTATAATCTTGTTAAAGATAACATATAAAATCTTTACTAAGTATAACTTTTTTTTTTTTAACGTATTATAAAATTACGCGTAAATTTCAAAACATTTTTAATATTTTAATAATAATAAAAAATGTTCTCAAATCTTATTGCGTTAAAAAGTTTGTTCAAATGTACCAAAAAATAATTTAAGTGAAAATAGTTTTAAATTGAAACGTATAAACATTTAAATTTTTAATAAAAACGTTTTATTTAAAATTATTAAAATATCTTAAATTTGTTAATAAATAATGTAAAAAATTTTAAATTTTTATCGGTATTTTCCGAAATATACTTACTAAAAATTTCGACAAGAATGTTTTTACAGGAGGGGTGACATAGGTAAAAAGTAAGCCCTTCTGTTTGTCGGCGTGCGGTTCTCAAATATTGACCGAAGGCCTTCGGTTGCGGGTATGCGGGTTATTTTTCAATTTTAGAAGGCCTACAACAGAAGGACTCGCATAATGTATGTAGGGTTTTAGAATTTTAAGGCCTTCTGTTTCAGACCCGCGCTTTATTTAAATGCGCAAAGCAGAATTAAATTTGGCTTCTAAAAGGAAAGTAGAGTGGTCTGATAAAGCAGTACAATTAGAATCAAAGAAATATGTTAAACTGGATCAAGATAGTAACAATATACCATGCTTGCTATGTAACGTCGGAATCAAAGTCAGAAAGGGAAGATTTTTTACTACCCATGAGTACGATCAACATTGTAAATCCATTTCACATGAGGTATCTGTTCGTAAAGAAAATGAAGCTGGGCTTTTTCAAACTAATATACATCAGTTTTTTCCTATTGTTTTTCCAAATGTTTCAAAATTAGAAGTTGTGGCTAATTCTGGAATTGATTTTAGTATTATTCCTGAAGCTAAAATAAAACTAACTAAACCATGCGATGGTGTATTTAATAAGAGAAGAGAACTTGTAGTCCTTTTTAACTCCTATGGCATTATGGATAGTATGATAAATAATAACGCAAAATTTGTTAAAATAGATGATAAAATTTATCTTCATAGCATTCAATGTATTGGAAATCACATCAAAAAATGTGATCATTGTATTAATTTATGTAGAAATTGATAATTCACTAGTCGATTGGAAGCAATGGGTGTTGTAAGAGATGTTTTAGAAATTATCGAATCATCTGAAATTCGTGAAGAAGACTTAGAAGCACTTAAAAAATTTGTAAAAAGCTGTAAACTTAATCATGCACGGTGTAATGAAAAAAGAAAACTGTTAGCTGCAAAGGTCAGTTTAAAAATTGAAGGTATTACTTCATTATTAAATCTGAAAAAATAACTTTTGGCGATTGGAATTACTGTTTCAGAAACAAATCAAATTTCAGGATATGATTCCTTTTTCCAATCATTTCATAAACTTTACAAAGAAAATCCTAAACAAAATGGAACTCTACTACATGCAATGCAGTCTTGTTTAATTTCAAAAGCAAGTGGTAAGACGAATGAAAAATTTCAAATTGTGACGTTAGATTTTTTTTTTAATGCTTCGAACATTTGGTAAATGTGTTTATAGATTTGTTGCTGCAAATCTCCCTAGTGTTTCCTTGAGACATATACAACGCGTCACTGCAAAAACATCAAATAGTTTTATTCTTGATGTTTCTTTAGATGGCCTTAACAAAAGATTAGATAAAATTTATGAAATAATGCCTGGTACCAATAAACTAATTGTGTCTGTATCTATGGATGCTACCAAAGTAATTCCAGCCTTTTTAACTTGTGTAAAGTTTAATTGTATTGTGGGAAAGGTTGCGCCAAATCATATACTAAAAATAAATGATGAAACACTTAATGGTATTGACAGTGCAATAGATCTAGCAACAGAAGTTAAAGCAGTTGTTATAATGATTCACAACTGTCCTGAAGGAACAACGCCAATTAAACTTCTATGTATTCATCCCCAAAGTACAAATAAAAGTAATTATACATTTAATAATCACATTTAAGATGTTTTAACACCCAAATTTCGAAGTTGTTTCATTTTGCACAGATGTTGTATCATACGAAAGTAAATGGATAACAAAGATTTTATTATTGAAAAAACAAATAAAGTTGCTTTTATAGATGATAATCATGTTGCAAAAGCCGTAAGAAATCAAATTTTGTCTATAACCGAATTAAAAACAATTGAATCGTATCTGATTCAGCCTGGAATATTTGCACACGCAAGTTTAAATATATCTAGAGATTTATATGAAGTTAAAGACTTTGCATCTGATGCCTTAGTGTTAGGAATTTGTGACCCTAAATTAATAAAAAAGATAATAGAAGCAGATTTTAACAGTCATGCAATTTCAAAGCAATCACAGTACACACTTTCTTTAACGTTAGTATTTCTCAGACTTTTTCTTATTTCAACAAATGCTAACGATATTGATTTTCAATTAAGAATTGCTTTTAAATGGTGCGCAATGATTTGGTTTTTATCAATTGAAGGTATTCACTTTATAACTTTAAAGAACATTGTTGCAAATGCAATAGGGTCTATCTTTTTGTACCCACAGGAGCGAATTAAATGCTCTAGATATTGTACTGAAGAATCTTGTGAGCATTATTTTGGTTGTACTAGACAATTTGAAAGAGAATTCACAATTCTACTAGAAAAACAAAAAACAAAGAAAAAAGAAGTTATCCCTACATTGAATTTATCACCTATTCAAGAAAAGGTTTTATTTGACCAATTTTTTCATCAATCATTTGCTAGTAAACTATCCAAAATAGTTTTTCCAATAATCAATGAGTTTTTATATCAAATGAGTGTTTTGCTTAATACATGTGGAATTAAAAAACTTTGACTAAAAAATTTCTCTTTCAGATTTAAAGAGCTTCTATACTTCCTTTATAGAAAATAAAAGTAGTCTTGTAAAAGTAAACGTTAATCCCGACTTGGATAAGGCTTTAAATGCTGATAATAGCTATGACACTGATGTTCAAGAAAAATTGATAGAAATAATTAATAATAGTTTACAAGAAGAAATTTTAGAAATTGAAGTAATTCATAATGAACCAGAGATAAACAATGTCGATGAGGTGTTGGTTGAGATTAACCAAAGCATCATTTCTTTTCAGAAAATGTTCACTCAAATATCCCTTAAAGACATTTGTGAAGAAGGGTTGGCTTCTATTTCTGAGCAAGCTCATGTATTGTTTAATAATCATCAAAAATCTAAATCATTATTACAACGTTTGTATAGACCGAATTTAAAAAATAAGTCTAGCATGGAAAAATTTAATGTAAAAATAGGGAGTCTTTTTCAAGCAGAACTGAAAACATGGGTTGTCATGATTATTTTTCGAAAGGCATACAACAAATGGAGACCAACAGAAAGTTGTGAAGTTCCTGTTGATAAAAAAGGCTTAGTTTTAATACATTCTACTTTAGCAGAATATGGAGTCTTAACCGGTAGCTATATGCTACCATATCAAAATGTCGAAAACGGAGAGATAAAGGACAATCAAAAAAAGTATTTTATGAAAATTGATTGCTATGAAATAACTGAATGGCTTGCTGCTGATTAAATTTTTATTAGAATTAACTTTTGAAGTTTTCTTTTGGTTTATTTTAAAACTGTTTTTGGTACACCATTTATAATTTTGCATTGTTTTGTGTATATATTTATTTCATAACTATGTATCAAAGAAAAATTGTTTTTTTTTTAATGGAATGTTAAGTGGAAAAACGCAGTTCCCCACTGTACTGATCTATATATATATATATATATATATATATATATATATATATATATATATATATATATATATATATATATATATATATATATATATATATATATATATATATATATATATATATATATATATATATATATATATATATATATATATATATATATATATATATATATATATATGTATATATATATATATATATATATAACACCCTAATATATATATATATATACATATATATATATATATATATATATATATATATATATATATATATATATATATATATATATATAATAGGGTGTTCCAAAAAACAATATTAAAAAAAATCTGCTCTTACCCTCTAAATGTGTTCTTTATAAGGGGCCATCCATAAAGTACGTACGCAGGGAGGGGAGGGGGTTTGCCAAAAGCGTACAAGCGCAAACAAAGGGAGGGGTATTAAAGACAGTGAGTACGTACGCGGTTTGACTATCTCTCCTAAACATGATTTTATTTTTTTTAAAACATTGAACTTCACGTGTGTAACAAATCAGAATAGTGTTTTTTTTTTTCTGACCAGTTTTTTTTTCTAGCTTCAGAAAAAAAAAACGTGTTAATTTTGAAAAAAAACAATGCGTACGTACGCGGAGAGGAGGGGTCTTTGAAAGCGTACAGGTTTGTAAAAGGGGGAGAGGGTCTTAAATCAGTGATTTTACTGAGTACGTACTTTATGGATGCCCCCTAATATAAAAACACTATATTTAATATTTTTTGCCGAACCTTGCTTTGAAAAATGGCCCTCTACTCAAAATAGGTTGCCAACCATTAGTTTGACATAATGTTGCGTCTAACCTATCGTTGCGTCTGTTACACAAGTTTGAAGTTTTAAAGGCTATAACTGAATATTTTGTATTCTTCTAACAGTATCTTCTAGAACAAAAGCTTTCCAAAATAAAAACACTAAAAAACCTACAATCTTATAGCTTTAAACTTATTGTTAACAATATAATATAAATGTTAACACTATAAAAAGCTTTTAATTTTTTTTAACTTTAAAAAACTTTATAACTTTAAACTGACTGTTAACAATATCAACTTAAATGTATACGGGCAAATCCGATTTTAATTATAGCATGTTAACAAAAAGGTTATTAAGAATAAAACCTTTTTTAAAACTTTTTTTATTTTTTTTCCTTTATAAAATTATTTAAAATCTAATATATATTTTTCAGTATTCTTAGCTTCTTATTGAATGTTCTTAGCTTCTTATTAAATCCAGCTTCTTATTAAATGTTTCACTATATTTTGTTCAGTAAATATG